TTTTTTAGAAAACTAAAATGAGGTTTAAGTCAATTAACTGACTGGCTCAAAAGCAAACGGAGAAAACGAAAAAAAAAAGAAAGACTGGGGTTTATCTTCTGTCAAAGGTTGTTTTATAACTTATTAAATGTTCTTATATCACCATACATTTTTTGTTTGAAAAGTATTTAAATAAAAGTAGTTTCAATTATTGGATGTCCTTTTACTTTGAGTCAGCCAAATAAAAGTATATGATGTTATCCTTGCTACATCTGTAAAATCTGTTAAAAATTTTCACTGGCGGGCTTGGTTGGCTATTTCTTTTTATATCCTAGAGGTTTCACTTCAAAATTTATGTCTGACATCATCATTACTTAGTTCAGGATTAATTTTAAATTAGAATATATAATACTGCTCTTCACTAACGACAATCCATGCATTGCATAGCCAGTTATATCACCTTTTTGCTAAGAATATTTCAGAATCAAAGGAAATTGGAAACTTTGAATAATCAGCGTTATTTAAACTGTTCTATATGAACTACAAAGTATATTTCACAGCCAGCTCACGTATTAATTCTGTGATATTCCTCCTATTCCAAACCTCTAAGTAAATGAATTACTGTCCTGGCTTTCATACTGCCTTTAGCTAGATGTGTCACATTGCCAAATGGCTAAATATACAGCTTCGGAAGTCACAATTTGTGTTCATTAGCTATCCACTGCCTACATTGTTTGTTATATTTAGAAGCAGCAACAACAACTTTCCACCTTCGTTTTTAATTCTTAGTTTCTCACATTAGACAACTTTGCTGGGGGATGGAGCTAGGGGGTGGAAGTAGATAGTCATCTTCTCCAAATTTTTAAAATTATTAGTAAAATAAACATGTTTGGAACAATTGGACAGTGTACCTTGGGATGAATAGATTAAACCAGAGCATTTTCATTATGTGTCTGGCAATCACCCTTTTATCTCATCTTGTGATGAACATCTGTATTTTTTGGCACGTTGTTAGGATATAAATGTGGGGTGTATCTGAACAAACTCTCAATTATAGTTCTGCTCAGATGAGATTTCAAAATTATGTTTTCTACTTTGTGGATGGTATTTACTGTTATGTGTGGGGAAAAAAAAAAGCTAATGCATTTAATATTCTGTTCTGGATTCATGTATCAATTATTTAGCTAAACCTTCTGTTAGTAGGGTTTTTTGCAAAACATGTACCAAATGTTTATAAAAAGGGGAAGAGATTCGTCAGGTTACAGTAGCTAAAGCTGTGCTACAAAGAAAAAATGAACAAACATATGTTACCAGCAGTGTTTCTCATATTTGATGAGTAAAACTGTATTCTGTTTTGTTGCATTGTCTTTCCTTGTACAAATAAAGGCCCTGATCCAATAAACATTTAGAAGTTTGATTTTGATTTGCGCTATTTAATCTACTTCTGTCTTTAAGACACCTTTACATTTATTTGAGAGGTGCTGGAGGAGATGGGAGACTGGTCTTTAAGCATTTACTTAACCTTTGGCTCGTCAGGACTCCACAGGCTTCCCATGTCTAGAGCTCAGCACGTGCAGCAGCAGTACAGAACAAGTGCCAAAAGTAGGAAAAAAGCCTGAATTTTTTTAAAAAAAAAAAAAAAAAAAAAGTTGTGGGTTTTTTCCCCCCTTCCTAGTGAGTGAATCATTTAGTGTTGGTCTGTGGCTCTGACTGCGGCTCTGGCACCGTTCCCATGGCTGTTACAGCCCCTATTCCACTTGGGAGAGTTTTCAGGAAATTGTGTTGTCATGGATCCTTCTGCTCGGCTCCAATCTGCTCTGTGCCCAAAATTCCCTGTGCAGCGGAGTAAGAAATCCCCGGCGGGCCCCAGCTGCATGAGGCACGAAAGGCTATAACTTCTGTGCAACATCCCCCAATGCTACCCTAATTATTCCACTGGATCATCTTAAATAAGGTTTAAAAAAAAGAGTGGAAGCAAATCCAACAGTTGAGACATAAGAAGATGGGGACTGCGCTCTTCTAAATTGGTCTTTCTAAATGTCCCTAGTTCTTAGTCATAATCCAGACTGTCTAGACTTACCAAGTTAGAAACAGGCATGTTTTCCTTCAAGGCTGAGCAATTTAATTCAGCCAGGCTTGAGGGTTTTTTCCCAACTGTTTATTTTACTAAACTAGAGATGTTTTGAGGATGGCAGGCACCCATCAGGAAGAAACAAGGCTAAAGTTAGCAACAAAGAGATGCGCTGATCAGTAGTGCTGTGACTAGGATCACCGCTGCAGCTGCTCCCTTCCTACGTGTGTTGGCCGTTTGCGTGTTGTTCGGGTTCCTGTGGAAAGGGTAAGTGAACAGGCAGGAATAGGGAATCAGCTCCAGAGATGGGGTTGTCGGTGGGCTGCTCCAGTCTGATGGCAGTGTGAATCGCCTTATTCTACATGGAGAGTCAAAAAAATCATCTTAGCCGTAGGAAAACCATGTTTTAGAGAGTTCCTGGCAATGACTATAAAAGGGTCAGCTTGCTGGCCTAGGGGATTTGAACAATGTGAATTTTCTGGATTATTTTAGCAGTGCAGAAAAAACAATGAGCATTCAGTGTTTTTCGCTTCGCTTCCTTCATAGGAGTTTTGGAAATGCATCCAAAGAGGATAAGATCTGAATACATATCGAGTAGACGCAACAATAGATAGCAGCAGCAACTACTGAACTGCTTGCAGCAACATTTAGTGCTTTTGAAATGGTTGTTCATTGCTTACAGCTGATAGATAGGCTTTAGACATGAATACGTGCTTGCCAGAGATCCTGCCATTTAGGCACCCTGGGATTGGCCCTCGGCTTGGCCCTTGACTGGTGGAAATCTTCTCATCCACGCTGACACCCTGTCAGCTTGCTGGCTGCTGAGTATGGTGAGGGGAGAAGTCTTGCTACCCTTTGCCTCTAGTACAGGAGTGCTGGCTGCGAGGATTGTTCAGTGTCTCAGCTCCAAGCCTCTCGCTATGGAAGGGAACTGTGTAACCTGGTGTTTGCCAGTTGTCCTGAAACAGTGCTTAATATCAGATGAAATGGAAGAACATAAAGAATTTTTCTTAGACAATACTAATGTGGTCTGACGACAAGCATAGAGAAATAAATGGAAACATGATTTAGCTACCTGAACCTCAGCTCTGCTCCAGGAGCTTTCTGTCAGCTGTGTAAGCAGGAATAAGCTGTTAGGATGTTTGTATAATTTTGTGGCTGGGAGCCAGGTCTTACGACCAGGCTACTCTTTTTCTCTGAAGAGGATCCTGATGTGGGGCTGTGTTTTTCCAGCCCTTCAACTCAGTTCTATTCAGATTTAAATTTTATCCTGCCAGAGTCAGAAAAAGGGTCAGAAGTCCTGACCCTGCCCAGACAAACTTTTTTATTTTATCAGCCGATATTACTACTTTGATATGGCAAGACCACTCTACTAGAGGGGTTGTACATGGTTATTGGCTACATCACTTGAAACAAATTCTGAGGAAAGTATTTTCTTCTATCTGACAGGACAAGGTTTGACTCTTTGCATAATCCTTCGTATACTGAACCTGGAGTTTGTATAAATAAATCATTTGAGTCATGCGTTACAGTTTTCACTGTATGCTTATACACACGTTCATCAGTTTTACCTTTTGCTCAAGACTAGACATGATAGTAGTCCAAATATTTTGGCATGAAAATGGGTTTGAGAAATACTCTACCAGTTATGAGGTTAATTTTTTTTTCCTATCAGTTTTCCATTGAATATTTGAAGTGTTTGGACTTTTTTACACAACACATTTAAATGTATATTTAAGTAAGCCAGTAGTTTTACATGTATTAAAAGATCCATTTTAAATTTTCCCTTCGGTGAGAGAAAGAGAGAAACCATTCCATGCAGCAGATGTATAACAGATGCTGCTCCTAGCACGTACGGCACTACTGGACGGTGGCCAGATGCAGTGGTGATAGCATAGCTATTACCATGATAGAGAAGAATAAAAGATACGTAAAAGTAATGTTAGCTTCCCCACCCACCACCTTGTCCACACAAATGGGAAGGAGGAGAAAATTCTGAAATCTGTCAGCTATCTACATCATCATATACAGTCCCCACAACCACCCACTTTCAAAAACAGCGGAATAATAGAGCACATTTGAATATGTTAAATACTGTGAAGTCCGTCCCATCTGGACCACATCAGGGCTCACAGAATCTGAACTACAGTTCATAAAACCCACCTTCTTTCCATCTCCATATCCCAGGATGAATTTGCCAAGAATGTGCAGCTCCAGAAGGCTACTGAAATCAGGATGGGGGAAAGGGGAATTCATCTCGCCTAACCTTAGCTATCAAGAAGCCAAACACCTAGGCGAAGGCAGTCTCTCTTAGTTAACAAAAGGCACTTCTAGAAGGCTTTTGTCCTACTGGTCTTAGTTTGAGCTAAGTGAGGTGAATCCCACCTAGTCATCTAGTGAATTGGTGTTAAAGCCCAGGCATAACTCATCTCTTGACTTCAGGGGTCGAGTGTTGCCATTTGACCTCTCACCAGTTCCTTTGGAACGTTAATCTGAGAACATAGATACTTTTCTAACAGTAGAGAAGATCCTTCCTGTCTGAAAAACACATTTTCATTTTAGAAGGTAGGAAGATATTTTTGAGACAAATCACCAACTAGAGGGAAAAAAAAAACCTCTGGTGGTAGTTGTCACTGTGGGCACACCCTGCGTTGGAAAGCACAGGCAATGAACAATTACTGTAACTGAGTTGTGTAGGGCATAAATATAGCTTGTACTCCATACAAATTTGACTTCACTACTCACAACACAAATCTCACCTGCAACTCAGCTGTCTTAAAAAAAGAAGAGGCAATGCCACTTCAACATTAATCATTTCCACGTGCAGAAAACGTGGCTATTCTGCACATGACTGCATTTTAAAAGAGAAATCATTGCACAGAATACAGAATGGATTCAGTATGAACCTTCTAAAATAAATGAACCTTAATTTCTTTTGTATTTTTTAAAGGTCAAGTGCTGCAAATACTGGCCAGATGACACAGAGATATATAAAGACATTAAAGTGACTCTAATAGAAACAGAGCTCCTGGCTGAATACGTGATTCGAACATTTGCAGTAGAAAAGGTAAGTTTCCAAATTCAGTTTTCTTAAATATAGTGGTATCTGACTAAGTAATTGATACACAGACTCAGCACGGGAAAGTTAAATCTTTTGACTGACATCCCGGTTTTGTAGCTATTTTTTTGGGTAAACGACTACCGCCCTCTTATGGTAATCAGTGTTTTGCTTTAAATGCAGCAACTTTTCTGCGCTTTCCATCACTGTCGGCCCCTGCCTGAGTTAGAAAAAGTGATGTTCCTTGCCTAGGAGAAATCGAAGCCTCCCTCCCGGCAATCAATTGAAAAACACTGTTTTCCCATCTTATGTTCCTCACAATCATTTCCTGTCTGTACCAGAGGCTGCATGTGCCATTATTCAGAAGTCCATGGTGGAGAATACTGTTATCTGTTGGGCCAGTGTGTGTTTCTGATCTGCACAGACGTAACTGAAACAACCTCATTTTCTTCTCAAGGCAATTTCACTTTTCTTGTGGAATCCATCTTTAGATGGAGAGTTCCAATCAGCATGCTGTATTAAAGTTTATTAGGAGAATGCCATGAATTTGCTGCTTACTAGATCTTGTAGCTCTCCCAGAGAGTTTGCAATATATGGACAACATACAATCAACAAGGAAGGTACTTGCTGAAAGTGAGAACAAGCAGGGTCAGTCAATGCTGAAGTGTGTCGTGCATTTTGTGTCAGTTCAGGGGTTTTATTCATACTTCATTATAGGACAGAAGTGTTTTAATTGTATGTATCAAGACTCATTTGAGTTTCAGAACAACAAGGAAAGGGCCTCTTTGGAAGACTTGATATTCCTAATGAAGCACTGAAGTAATGTTCTCTCAGTATCACCATGAGTGGATTTTCAACTAATTAGCTTAGAAAACTCCTTTTGATTTAGTTGCAGTACCTGTGATATACTGGTTCTCTCTAATGATGAAATAGTATTCAGTTATGGTTTTGAAGAACATAATCTTTAGCATCAAAGAATCCTGCACCCAGGTAGATGAAACTGCCGAAAAGACAACCCAACAGGGTCTCTGTACATACATCCACAGTAACAAAGGAATTAGGTTTTCTCCTGTTTTATTCTTCAATCTAATACTTAAATATGCATCAAAACAGCAACCTGAGGGTAATGATAATAGAATTATGTGGTTTGAATGAACTGAAATATTGTATCATGTTTACCACTGTACATATTGTACATCGAATTCATTCAAGCCTGTTGTTTCCTTGCATTTAAATATTTTTAATAAACAGATGAGAAATGGTGGCTACACTTTGAAGTAGATGAAGCACTGGTTGATTTCTATTCTGCACATTTTAAGCCCATGCTTTGATGTTAGCTTTTCACTTCTTAACTGGGACTGGAAAAAAAGACCTAGAGGATTTTACAGTTGAACATAACCAAACTGTCTTGAATAAGTGCATTAGAACAGATAGAGATAAAAGGCACTAAACATTTTATTTCTTTAAAAAAATCTCCATCTCAAAAGATTTCCTTTAGACACTGCTTTTTAATAGTTGGTAGTTTTTCAGTAAGCCTCTAAAAGCGTGTCAGTGTAGTTTGAGTAAAGTACCTTTGTTTTTACCCTATTTTCCATATTTTTAAACTCTTCCAATGGTACTGGAAGGTCAAGTCTGTACATCTCTTCCACCATAATTCTCTCAAGTTTATATTTCTGATATATTGAAATTATTATATTTATATTGGGACTGATACTTTGCAGCCTCTCTAAGACAAGCTGCGTGATGAGACAGAGTGCACCCTAACCAAATCTGCAGAGAATACTAAGTGAAGGATGGTGTTGAAACACTGAACATTGGAGCCTAAGTTCTAAAGGACTTGACAATTTGGCTAGCAGAAACTTTAGTAATTCAAGTTCTGTGCCTTAGGTGGACTAACCCCATGTGTCAGTACAGGCTGTGACATTCTGGGACAACATCTGACATCCAAGGTGATTATGAATGTAGGACATATGAGCTGCAAGGGGAGGTTAAGAGAACTGGCCTTGTTTGGTGTGGTAGAGATGAGGAGGAGAGGTAGCGAAGATCTATTTGCAGGTACTTCAAAGATGTTTAGAAAATCAGGGGCACCAAATTTTCCTCATTCTTTTCCATGGTAGTGAATGGCAAAACAAGGGGTAATGGCCAAGAAGTTGCAGCATGGAAGGCTTGCACTGGAAAACCTCCTTCAGAAGGAGGATAGTGCAGTGCTGGAGCAGGTTACCCAGAAAAGTTGTGAAATCTCTGTTCTTGGAGGTCATCAGGGCTCAGTTAGACAGATCTAGTGTTGGCCACAGATACACTCTGAGTGGGAGGTTGGACTGGAGACCTCCAGACGTCCCTTCTGACCGTCTTTTCTATTTGTGGATGTACATCTCATACCTGCTCCTAAAATACAATTTAGAAGCTGATTTATTTAGAGATAAATTAATCACTTATTTTTGGTTTTTAAAATGGCTATTTGGTAATTATTGAGGAGTAGGGGAATAATGCTGAGGAAATTGAACCCGAAATTACACTCAGATTCTGAAGGGCACTTCCTAGGTACACTTTACATTGTGCATAAAAGCAGGCCCTTTGGAGCAGTTCCATTACAGCACAACAGTTAACTCAGATGAATTACTCAGATAGTAACATACAGCAGCACCATGTAAGTATTTGTAGCATTTTTGAACATCCTAGGGTTTGCTAGCAATGTACACCATTTTCTGTTTGTTTCAGATGAAAGAAAAAATTAAAAAATACAGTCTTTCCAAGCTGAGCATGTGCTTTTATGATTCATGCAGTTGTGTTGCTATTTTGGGTTTAAAAAACCAGCAGGGAAGCTACAGACATGGAAATCATTCTTTTGTAGGTATAATAAGCAAACTCATTATAAAAATACCCTATATGCAAAACCTTTTCTAAGTAGCTGAGTGTTACCAACGATAGACAAAAATGCAGTCAGCATGACAGACAGCAATTTCAAAACCAATGGACAAGATACAGAGGGCATATCCTGAGCTATGCCACAGCTGGGCGTGTTATTTTGGAGGGGCAGTTTACTTCTTGTGAATTGCTTGAAAATCAAGGCTGTGTACAGCATGAAGAATTCGTGTGGGGTACTTGTTTCAGTCCTCGGTTTGTATCGTCATGGCATTGCTTTTCTGTATGGGATCTTTGTTTCTTGGGGGATTGTGGGCAGTTGTTATGAGCCAAATAAAAGTGTTTGGGACATGGATACCACACCTACACACAGCTATTTACGGAGATGGAGGCCTTGCTTACAGTAGCAAAAACATTTGTTAACTAACACACTCTAAAATCCCCAGAGTACAGAGACCAAATTGTATTTAGATGTGTTTGCTAGACTGTCTTAAAATGCAAATTACTTTGCCTGTTCCTGGGTTTCAATATGTTTTAAAATTGGTTTTTAGGATATAAGGTCATTTCTGTTGCAAAGCTGTGATCTCCTCAGTCTACACCAGTGTCACATATGCTCTTCATCTCCTCCCTTGCCTGCCTTTTTGTGTCACAGTTTCCAAGGGAGATGAGCGTGGATATTGCTCTGAGCAGATGCCCAGTCTCCACAGCCCCAGCCTGAGCTGTCAGAGCATCAGGACTCCAAGTTACACCAAGCCCACTCCAGTCACATAGCACTGGCATGGCAAAAATTTCTCAACTGTTGAAAATCCCAGACTCCTTTAACTTGCATACTAGCAATAAATTAGGAAGCTTATATTACTTCATTATGCAAAGAGAATTAGACCTTTTATATGCAAACCAGCTCAAGAGAGGAAAAACATCTTTAAGAAGAAAAACTGTAAACCGCCAGTTATTAATATCACTGACATTTAGTCCAGCCTAGACATGATATGTCATAATTTTTCTGTTTGCTTATGAAATATGTATGATGGCCTCTGGTCTGTGGATTTCTAATGAGAATAAAATACTGGCAACAATTTTACAGGGGTGAGGGGAAATACAAGCACTAAGAAAATCAAACTTAGCATACACACCTTTAATATCCAGACTGCTCCAGAAAGTCACATGGGAAATTACTTACGCGATCAGCTTCTCCTTCATACCTGTCTCGCCATATCCACGTCCTTGTAGACTGTGGCAAATCACTTGAAGGGTGAGCATGTGGGGGGCTACAAACACAGCCCCTGTGATTGGAGGTGCGAAAAAGGTTTCTTACTATTCAGCTGTTTCTTTCAGACCAGTGAAGGAGACAAATGGTAAGGAAAACTATGCTGAAGCTGTAGTTCCCTGAACTCAGCAGCAAAACACCTGTGGAGAGCGGGGGGGGGAGTCATCTGTGCTGTACGTTCATGGCCTTGCTGCTGACCTGTTCTGTGATCGTGGCATGCATCTTAAGGCCACAGTTTTCAAAGCAACCTAGTGCTGAAATGTAAGGATAAGCGTCTGTCTTGTTACTAAAAGTTTCCAACCAATCGCATGCTAGGTTACTCAATGTTGTTGTAAGGCTTTGAAACCAGTTGATGTGTAACCTTTAAACTTGCTGTCCTGCTGAGAAAGCTCTCCAACAGTCTGTACAGATTGTATTCGTAGGGGGTGGATGCTTTTCAGCAAGGCCCAGGCTTTTGAAGTTACATTCTTACGATGTCTCTCAGCCAGCTTTTTTCACATTCCAGCTTGTTTTTGTCAACCCTTGTCTTTTCAACAGAGGGGCGCTCATGAGATTCGAGAAATTCGGCAGTTTCACTTCACTGGCTGGCCAGACCACGGTGTACCGTACCACGCGACAGGCCTGCTGGGGTTTGTACGGCAGGTCAAATCCAAGAGCCCACCAAATGCTGGCCCTCTGGTTGTTCACTGCAGGTAGGTAGAACAGAAATCCCTCTGTTGTGCTGTCCGCTAAACTCAGGACCTACTTTTGCTTCTGTTGTGCTGTGTAATCCCCACACAGGTTGCTGAAGCCACTGGAGCTCTACCCACTATAACTTAATACCTAAAATATAAGCAAGAAGGGAAAAACAGAGTCTGAAATCCTGCAAACACCTGAATGCTAGACTCAGTTTCAGTAATTGATCAAGTACCCGCGAGATGAACCCTTGCACTTTGCATTTTCCAGTACACTGCTGAACATTAACTGTGCTCTTCTTTTACTTTAGTGCTGGTGCTGGCAGAACTGGATGCTTCATTGTTATTGACATCATGCTAGATATGGCAGAAAGAGAAGGTGTTGTAGACATATACAATTGCGTGAGAGAACTTCGATCTCGGAGAGTTAACATGGTGCAGACCGAGGTATTGTTAATCTACTGGAATACTGCCTTTGCAAGAAAAAAATACTCTAGCCTGTAAGACTAGAGCCCCTTTGTGGTTGGCACCATCCAGAAGGTAGTTTATTCAGTCATATGCAGAAAATAATCCACACACAAACCTGAAGAACCTCTGCCCAAACAAGCGCACAGTTATGCTGCACTTAAGGTTCACAATGGTTTTTAAAAAATGGAAAATCATGAGTGTTTCCTATCTGAGGAGAATTCATTCTGGAGTACATCTTGTTGAGGCTCAGTTGCATGGTAGCACCAGCAGAACTGTGCAGAGGAATGAAGAAACCAGAAACATTCTGAGTTTTTGTGGAGTGTTACTGCACTTCTGTTTGTACTTGTAACCAGTTAGAGTCAATCCTTCTGTATTAATTTCTAAATGAGTGGGATGAAGTTTTATAAGCTGCTGTTGTTCCTTCTGGTCTTGCTTCAGTGCTGGTAAAGTCAGAGAGAATTAGTGGCAACAGTATTAATTGTTATTTTTTATTTACCTAAATACTAATAGCATCTGATCTCTATGTCAGTAATTATTTTAATTGCTTTAACAGGAACAGTATGTATTCATCCATGATGCTATCCTGGAAGCCTGTCTTTGTGGGGACACATCTATTCCAGCTTCTCAAGTTAGGTCTGTTTACTATGAAATGAATAAACTGGATCCTCAAACTAACTCCAGCCAGATCAAAGAGGAATTTAGGGTAAGTTGTGGCTAGCATCAGCTAGAAGCTATGTAGTTCAGCTATACTAAAGACTTCTAATTAAGTGCTTGCTTATAACCATGTGAATTTTGGACCAGGCCTGCAAAGGAAAGACTGCAAAAAAAGGAAAATAACATGTCACTAAATGCTATTGAATTATGCTAAATCATAAAAGAATGCAATGGAGTAGTAGTAAAATCTTCTTTTTACTCAAGGGAAGTATGTTGAGTCCTGCTGTCCTTTCTCCAGAAGGCAGGTTAATCTGCAGCTGTCTTTCAGGTCATTTTTCAGATCTGTATGCTTCCAGGATTTTTTGCTTCAAAACCCTGCTGACTGTGATGTGTTTTCACTTCTCTGCATATTGATTCCCACTGAAACTGAATGCTGAGCTGATCTGTTCTTAAATATTTTAGGGTGCTTTCACTGCTATGTTAATTTTTCTGTTGTATTGTTTACTCTTTTTGAAAGACTTTAAATATGGTGACTCCAACACTGCGTGTAGAAGACTGCAGCATAGCACTTTTACCACGAAATCATGAAAAGAATCGCTGTATGGATGTTCTGCCTCCAGACAGATGCCTGCCTTTCCTCATAACGATAGATGGGGAGAGCAGTAACTACATTAATGCTGCACTGATGGATGTAAGTCTCCGTTACATCATTAATAATAAAAAGGGAATAAGCAAACTGAGCAATGCCAGAAAGTGAAGTCAGCATAAGAAGACTGAAATCCTTCTAGCTTGTTTTCCAAAAACATGGCACAAAATCTTTAAACTCCCAAGTACATTTAGGATCCCACATATGTTATGTCACAGCCAAGGTTCCAAATCCATGCTCAGAGAGCAATTCAGGGAGTTTTGATAAATTATATGTGTCTGGATTTCTCCCTAGTGCTTGAATTTTTAACCATCTGGCCTAGGAAAAAAAAAGTTACCTGTTAAGACAGTAAGGCAGTTAAATAGAATAATAAGATTTGCCGCAATATTTCAGTTCCCTTTGTTTCTAATTTAAACAGTAATTAACCAAAAAAAAAATTGTCTGTCAGCACAAGATAGTACACAAGCCATTACTTCAGTCTTTCGGTTTATTTCTATTTGAATGAATGGTTCCTCTTCATGTGTGTGTGGATTTTTTTTTTTCTAATGCATCTATGGTAATTCTAATCCTGCTAATAGAATATCAGTACAAAGACACTTGAACCGCCTTTACAGTCTGTAGATATTTATAGCCTATCTATGACAATTTAGAGCTATAGTAATTAGGGTTGTCAAACACATAAACAACAAGAAAACAGAGGTTAGAAAAGAAGGAACACATTGTAAATGGCCTTTTTGAAAACTGAATCTGGAGTAATAACAGTTTATAGCAGGTTTTGCATTTCTTTTCTTCCAAGTTTTCAAAGCATTTTCCTAAAATAAGCCTGAGTTCAAAACACTCCTGTGAAAAGGTAGGTGTGTTATCTTTATGTTTATCTATGTAGAGAAACCGAGAACAAAAGTTTAAGCGACTTCTCTAGGTTCTTACAGTAGGTCAATGACATTTCATATTAGAATGGAGTTTCCTTGATCTGCAATTTACAACCTTGCAATTACGTTGTCTTCTTTCCTGGAGAGTTCAGTTCTGTTTTGTCTGTAAATTAAGTACTGCTCAGAAGGAGCAGTGCCTCAATATTTGCTTTGAAAATGCATCCCTTCTTCACTGTTGAAACAATGAGCTGGATCCAAAAGTGTGTCTGGGCAAAAGGCTCTGAGGGAGGAGGTGATTTCGGTTGCTTTCCACCTGAAGTGCCCTAGCCAGGCTCCGCCAGTATCCCTGCACTGACGGGCAAGAGCAGACATTTGTCCCTCTTTCTAAACGGTCTCCTGCAGGCAAGATGATGCGTTTCACCTTCTCCACTTGCATCAGTTGAGATGCAGTCGGATCACCTCATGTAAGCCTTTAGAGGTAGCAAGCATAATTTTCATTATTCAGTATCAGAATGATTTTGAGAATGGTTTTCCCTAAAAAACTGCTGGGGCTTCCGAGTGAGGGAGCAACAAAGAGCCCTTCGAGTGTCTCTCATCTGCATACAACCTCCAGCAGGACAGGACCAGTAGGATAGATACCTGATAGATACTGCAACCAGTGATACCTGCTACCTGCAATTTACTGAAACCAAAACAAAGAACTGAAGTCTTGCCTGTCTTCATCTGTACCCCAAAACACATTGGATTAATTTTCTGTGGTCTCTTCAGTGACTGTCTCTGAAACAAAGATGCAAATAGCTGATCAGATTGTATCTCTGTAGAAATACTTCAGTTCAAGGCATGTGGAGGCTTCCCTGCTCTCCTTAATGAAGGCAATGGCAGCCCCTCTGAACAATTGCCCCAGTTTGGCCACGCTGGCCTTCAACACTCAGGGGGGCGTAAGTGAAAATGCTAGTATGAGATCCACAATGGAACACTAAACAGCTCAGTCAACAACATACTCTGGTACTAAAAAAAAACAAAGGGCACTGAAATTTATCCCCTGGGTATCCTCGCTGCTGTCAGATAGACCAGAATGTCAGCAATATTTCTGAAAAATAACTAGATATTTCTTTTCATGGGCATCATTCAAATTAACAGCTAAGTGCAGACAGCCAAGATGAATCATTAACAGCTCAAAACAAAACTGTTGCTCAAAATTTTGTAGAAGTTGCATTGGAGGCAAAAGCCTGCGATGATTTTACCCTATGCCTGTGGCATAAAATACATTTCAGAAATATAACATCTGCAGAAGCTATATTCTGCCCAAATACAGTTTATTAACTTTGAAGCATATAAGATCTCAGGAAAGAGCTGAAAACGATGTATTAATTATATAGAAAATAGAAATAATGCTTTCAGTCACAAAGTTTTGGGGCTATGACTGGCATTCTGCTCCATGGATTTTTCTTTCTTACCATTCTTCTCACCATCTCATTATTTCTTTGCAGAGCTACAAGCAACCGTCAGCTTTTATAGTGACACAGCATCCCTTGCCAAATACTGTCAAAGATTTCTGGAGACTGGTCCTAGATTATCACTGCACTTCAATAGTTATGCTGAATGATGTGGATCCTGCACAAGTAAGTCCAGAAAACTGCTCCATTCAAAAGAGAAGTGCTAGTGCCTCAGCATTTCAGAACAGCTTTGGGCTGTAATTAGTTTTGTAAAACAACATTAAATGCTAACAAACTAAAAAATTGGTTTGTAGCTTGCAGATACACATAGGGAAAG